TTTGTTGCTTATATGATTCCATTAATAGCAAGAGTGGAAATATGAATTTGATTCTTTCATTTGTGGTAGTGTCTAAATTTTCCAAATAATGAAAGATTCTCATCACCCAAGTTTCAGTTGGATAGAAACTTGGAATCATGCAAGTTGTATAGTATGATGAATGAGAACTTTCAAGCATTGGAAAATTAAGACTAATTACTTGTTCACATGGATGTGTGAGTCAAGTAAAGGACTAAGGGATCAAGTACACATTCTTGTGCACTGATCAAGCCCACCACAAATGTAACTTGAGTGACACATCTTAAAGAAGGTTTATTAACACTAGTGAAATGTAAGAGTAAAAGGTTTTCTACTCTTGTACATTTGAATTTGGTAAGTTGTGATGTTTTGGATAAAACAGAGACCAACTTAGGCCAATTGTGTTAAGTGTTTGTCTTGATTAGAATCCACACTATCTCTTGAATATTTGGCAAGAAAGTCTTATAGGTCAAGGAGACAGTGGGAGTCTAAAAGATCCTAAAAGGGTTTCAAGAAGTAATCAAGAATAAAATATGTATTTCATCACTAGCACACAACTAGAGGTTTATAACCTATCGTGTTGACATTTCTGTGCCCATTCCAGTTAAGTTGGCTATATATATTTGAGTTCTACATGTTCTCAATTGTTTGCATAACTACTTGGAAGCAATGACAGGCCCTTGTGTTGCCAGGTGGCAAGAGGTTAAGATTGCACAAGTTCAATCCATATGATTTAGGATTTGTCACTAACCTAGTCTTGTAATTATGGTTTGACAAATTCACATGGATAAGAACACATACAACATAAAATCTAAGTGTCATAAGGTTTCTCTCCGATTCATGAAAATGATGGTGAGGAAATTCTTTCACTAAGTAGATTTTAAGTAGATAGCAAGTGTGATATTTGCAGTTCTCAAAGTCGTTAGTGGAGCGTGCGTGGTTAACCGGCACACTAACATTGACTTATGAGAAATGGCAAAAGGTCTAAGCAATTGAGACTATGATTATGGCATCCCTTTTCATAGTTCTGAAATTGTTTAGACACACCTGTGATCTATCTAAGATAAGGTGTATGATTTTGATAAAGTCAAAGCAATCTAGTAGAACTTTGGTAAGAATGTCAATAAAGTATTGACTTCTAGAAGTCCAGCTGTTTTCTGGATACATGTCAAAGCTAGTGGGAGCATGAGTGTTATGCTAATAATCATCATGTTAGTGGGAGCATGATAATTATGATAAGTATTGCAAGTTAGCAATGTTAATTATAGAAAACAAAAGTTTCAATTCGTGAGGTTGCAGGGGTTGAAAAAGTTGTTTTGCTATAATTAAGGGAGAGGATATTATACTTCATGTCAATTCTAAAAGGCTTAGAGTGAGATTTTAAGCTTAGATTGAGATTTTAATCATCTTTAGTCAAGAATATATATATATATATATTATCTATATCTATATATATATATATAGTATATATATATATATTATATATATATATATATATATATGAATTTCATGTTGGATTGGTTTCAACTTAAGGAAATTCTATATATTGCGTTCTCAAAATTCGATTATGATTACGGCATCCCTGTTCATAGTCAAATTTTCAGAATATGGCAAACAAAAAATTATTATGACAAAAGACTAGAACCATGTCTTTATGTGAAACATCATGAATCGTGTCCCATTTACTTTGGGTACAAGATCGATTACATGTGCTATAATATTTACCCTTTCTGAATTTTCCAAATGCCTTGGGGAATTAAGGGGAACAATGTCTAGAATTAGATATGACTAAAGTGATTAAGCAATTGTCGAGGACAATCTAAGGTTTACCAAAGATTGGTTGCTCAAGGACAGTTGGAAGTATATTGTTTAATATTGGAAGGACCATATTGACATAGTCTGAAAAGAGGCAACTCTTGTTCAGAAGCGGTAGTCAAAATGGGAATATTGAGTTATCTTCATAGGTGGAAGCAATCTGTGTAAGGTTAAAGAAACTTAATGCAAGAAGCATGTTCAAAGCAATGCGCTTTGAGTTTGAGACATCATTTCCATGGAATTGATCTCCATTGGGATACTCTGTAATGATTGTTGCCAAGCCTTTGTGGCTTTGTGCATAATCATTACAAGAGGAACATTGCATATAAGTTTAAAATCTAAACAGATTTCGATAAATGATAGGAATTTGGAATTCTTACATTTAAGACAAGGATTTGGGAGTGTGAAAAGAGAATCATTGAAATTATGTTCAATTGATCTAGTTCACTAAGAAAAGGATCATAGACAAACATAGAGTTCATACTTGGTGTATGGCAAAGCTATTGTTTAAGAAAAACATAGTGTACATGCTTGGTGCATGGGACAACTAGTGTTTTTAATTCAAGTATAAAGTTGATAAAACCGAAACAATGAATAATGAGTAATCGGTATGGTGATAAATAAAAGTGTTTATTTATATTCATAGGGTTTGATACCATATTTGATTCATTTATTCTTGTGTTTAACTTTGCATGTTTTGACTTCCAGAATAACTAAGTCGCTCTTCCTGAATGATTAAGTTATTCAAACCATCCACAGTCGGTCATATGTTGGTAGTAGATATGAATCAAGACTGTCATGGGTTGGTTTGTAGAGGTCCAAGTTGGTGGACAAAGTGGTGCTACAACACTCATGAGTGCTCATAAGTTCTGAGTATTGGATTCAACCCACGCTCATTTGAATCACTTCATGGATTTTATCACGAGTGATCATGAAACGATAATATCTTATATTCTTCAAACCTAGAGATATGAGTTGTTACTATGAGTTGGTTATACATTGATTGCACGAAAACGCATTTGGTAACTCGATGTTATAAAACGTGCCTTTGTGTATGATTCAACAAGTAGTAGAACAAGCCATATGAGTCGAAGTTTATCCATTCCTTTTACCTTCGGGATAAAAGCGATATCTGTGGGCCCCTCGATGATTTAGCGATGACACATGTGAGTGCTTGGCCAAACCCAGTACTGATTTGATTTGTTCAATCAGTCATTCATCATAAATCGAAAATCGGGAAACAACAAATGATCAGAGAGAATGATTATAATCCATGTCTCAGTCCATATGATATCTTGAATGGAGGAATATATGATCCCTTATCTAATGGACAAGTCATTGACAAGGTCAGAGTTCGACAGCGGCTTTAAGAGCTACGATTGCCAGTTAGGTTTTGAAGTCATACTCAATAATCGTTTTAGACTTATCCAAGTGGGAGACTGTTGGATTAATGTCTAAGTCCATAACTATATTTGGTATGTACTTGACCCGACCCGGCATGGTCCATTTGGGTTGCACTTCACCGACACAATTTATATGGATAGTCTTTTGAGAATAGTATATTTATGATTTATGTTAATATATTATAAGTTCTAATATATTAATATGGAATCATATTATTTTAATTAGTATTGATCAAGAATTAATTTAGAATTAATTAAGTGATCAAAAAGAACTAATTAAATATGGACTCTTATATATATGGAATGGGCCAAGTTCATTCAGGTTGGGCTAAGCTTTCATGGATGGTCCATGGAGCTTTTAACCCATGGATCCTATGTAAATGAAAGGTCATGGGTATTAGGGTTTACATGGATGTAACCCTAATCCTCCATAATATATAAAGGGGTCCTTGGCTCACAAAATTGGCACAAGTGTGTGAAAATAAGAGTGGGCCGATTTAGTGTGCATACATATTCTCTCAAGTTCTTCCAAGGTGGTTTTGGTGATTTGTGATTCCATTTGAGGCTTCCACACTATTGGGGCTAAGCTTTTAAAGCTTGAAGACATCAAGCTACATCAAAAGGTATGTCATCTAACTAGAACTTTGTAGTATAGGTGCTTCATATTATGCTAGTTAGGATGAAACCTTGGAATATTTAATATTTGCATGTATAATAGAGAAAACATAGATCCAAGGTTTATAGGGTTGAATGTACACCATAGGAGTGTTAGAATGCTCAAAACCCAACAACAACATCTAATACCCAACAGTCTCCCCCTTTGCGACAATTGAGGCACAAAACCATTATCCTTGAATTCGCTTCTGTACTTCATATACTTTTGGAATGATGCCAAAAATGTACTGGTGAATCTCAATATACCACAAAACCATATCAGAGAAGCACTTGAGGTCATCCTTACTGTTGCCTTTGTATTTACTCACCAAATCCAGTATGTACTCAAGAAAGGATGTAGTGTACAAATGTTTGTCAGAAAGGAAGAAGCATCCTCTGCGAAAGTCTGCACCGGTTTGTTCCCTAGCTTGATAGACCACGAACCATTCCCCACTGTATTATTCCCTAGCTTCAGCTTTTCAAAGTACTTTGGAGATTACTTACGAACAACAGAAGGATTCTTTTCGTAACACCACAACTACCTCAACATCCATTTCCCCAATCTCTTGAACATAAGACTTTATCATTAACTTGAGATGAGACATGACAGGTTCGTATTTTTCTTTGTCTTTCAGCAGCATGTTGTAAAGAACGAACCAGTCATTGGAGTTAAGACAAGGTAAGTTTGCGAAATTGAACTCGTAGCACTGACTGGTTGAACCTCTTGCCACTTTGAATTTCGCGTTCGGAAAGCTGTCAATCTCGATTGGTTTCACACTAATTATTTTGCTTAAATACCATGTTTCATATATATGCTTCAGATAAAAAGAGAACAGCATGTGATCAACCCCACTATCTGTGCTTGGAACGTTCGCAACTTTCACAATAGAACGAAACCTGAAAGCCTTTGGAGTGATTGGTAGATACAATTGCGAACCTTGTGTGTTTTGAAGATCAAACGACACAATTGCCTCTAACCAATACTGGCTAGGTAAATCAACGACATCATTTTGGATTCGCTTCAAGGTCCACTTGGGAAATAAAAGATTATTGCGTTGAAGAGTGGCATGCGCTCGTTTTCATCCAGCTCTTCTTCGTCTTCACTATTATCTACGATGGGCTCTTCACTGAACAATTTTTCCTTGCCCTTAGGTTCTTGCTTGACAACAGGTTTACTGGAGCAACAAGTTTAACTGGAGCTTTGGGATCTTCTTTTCTTGACACACCAGACACACCTTCTCCCTCTTGTTTCTGATTAAAGATTTGATCTGAAACACTTTCTAGCCTGTGAAGCATGAAAAAAACTGGTCTCACCTTCTCATGTAGATGCTTCCGTATTGTGATGGTGAGCATTGAGTCCCTGGTCTCAAGGATATCCGAGAGCATGCATGTAACATCGGTAATACAGCTTTGCATGATGTAACAACCCGTTATTTTTCTACCTATAAAGTCAAACTTGGGTCAACTAAAGTCCTTTTTATTGTTTGCATTTCTATTAAGGTTAGAATAATAAGCTTTGCATATTAAAACCCTAAGATTATTAGGAGTTAAGAAGGGAATAAGTGGGATCCGAGAGCATTCGCATCATCTTTCTTCTTTCTTTCCCTTCGGACCGCAACCTCACAATCGTTAACAGAACCGAGAACTTCGGACTGTGAACGAGGCCGTGATCAGGCTTCGACCGTGATCAGCCTTCGGGCCGTGTACGAGGTTCACGGCAGTGAACCCTTCGGACCGTGAACCCTCACACACACACACACATATATATATATATATATGTTTCAGCTGATTTTACTTCATTTTTACACTTTCAAACGAAATTCCAACCTTTTTCTCTCAAGTATCGTCAGCCAACAACAACCTCCCTCCTCAAGAACATGCAAAATTCATCCTTTATCATCATATTTCGCGATAATCACTAGTTCTTCATAAGATCTAACTGGTATCATTTCTTGATCTCATTATCACTTCGAGAACATCCTTCAATCTTCATATACTAGGTTGAAATCCGTTAATTTCACTAGTTTTCACGAAGAACACGCGAATAACACGAAGAACACCCATCTGAAAACCTTTCAATCTTCTTAGAAACTTGCTTATGTTCTTTAGGTGTTCTTCATTCATCAAGAACACAGGGCCGTGAACACCGTCAGGGCCGTGAACACCTCATGGGCCGTGAACCCTCGTAGTCGTGAACTCAATTCAGCCTCCATTTTAGATTATAAAACTCCTATTCGTAAGTTATACTTAGAAATTTGTCCAAATTCCAGTCTTTTATATGATCATATTCGTTAATTGGTTGCATATATACTATACAAATGGCTATATAGGACTTTTTCTGCTACGGAATTTCACTTGTGGAAATAAACGTCCTATATCAAATCATCAATCGAATCACCCTTTAAAAGGTGAGTTGATACCCCCCCCCCCCCCCGTATTTTCATAGTTTTTACAATTTTAAGGGGGGGAATACAAGTCTAACACAAGGATTTTGTGTTACCAACAAATGGTTTCAAAATATCTCAGAAAATGGATTTCAGTTATCTTCATATCAAATGGTTTTAAATTGTGTTAAAATGACATCAAGTCATCAAAAGTATTTCTGTAACATCCCAATTTTCAAGGCTAAAAATTTCATTTTAATTAAGTAATAGTTAACCAAAACATTGTCATTGTTACGTCAATTCGTAAAAACTGTAACATCCCTCATCTCTTCCTCCGACTCCCAAGTCCATTCTGATCCCTTGCGGTGCTTCCATTGCACCTTCACCAGCTCCACCCTCTTGTGCTTCACATCCTTCGACTTCCTTTCGAGGATCGCTACTGGCCGCTCGATGTAATTCAGGTTGTTATCCACCTGAATATCATCCAAGGGTACCACTGCTGATTCGTCCACCAGGTCGAGCCTATATGCCACCTTCCCCACCCGGGCTACAACCTCGAAAGGTCCTATGTACCTGGGGCCCAACTTTCCCCTCTTCTAAATCGGATAACACCTTTCCAAGGCGACATCTTCAGGAGGACCATATCCCCGACCTGGAACTCCAGGTCTGATCGGCGCTTGTCGGCGTAACTTTTATGTCGAATCTAAGCAGTCTGAAGCCTACTTCTAACCTGCTGAATCCTCTATATTGTCTTGAGCACCACCTCGGTGCTCCCTATGACCCTCTGTCCGACTTCGCCCAACATATCGGGGTCCTGCACTTCCTCTCGTACAACATCTTGATGGGAGGACGATCGATACTCGCGTGATAGTTGTTCTAGGAGAACTCAGCTAATGGAAGGTAGCTATCCCAGCTACCCACGAAGTCTAGAACGCATGCCTGCAGCATATCCTCCAAAGTCTGGATGGTCCGTTCACTCTGACCATCCGTCTGCGGATGGAATGTTGTGCTAAAGTGCAAACGAGTACCCAACTCGTCGTGAAACTTCTTCCAAAACGTGGAAGTAAACCGCACGTCTCTGTCCGAAATCACTGAAACCGGCACTCCATGATGAGCTACTACCTCTCGGATGTAAATATCGGCCAACTTCTCAGCCGAGATGCTCTCCTGGATCGGTAAGAAGTGGGCGCTCTTGGTCAAACGATCCACGATGACCCAAATCGAATCCACTCCCTGTGCAGTCCTGAGAAGCTTGGTGATGAAATCCATAGTAATATCTTCCCATTTCCACATGGGAATGTCTAACGGCCGCATCATGTCGTGCGGCCTCTGGTGCTCGACCTTGACCTTCCTATAGGTCAAGCACCGCTCCACGTACCAGGCGACGTCCCGCTTCATGCAGGGCCACCAGTAATCGGGTCGAAGATCTCTGTACATCTTCGTCGCCCCGGGATGAATCGAGAATCGGGATTTGTGCGCCTCCTCCATCAGAACCTGGCACACACCCCCATGGTAGGGAACCCATACCCTACAATGTAGTATCAATAACCCTCAGTTGTCGTAGTCGAAGGAGGAAACCTGACCCACAATACGCTCGCTCTTCCGATGTTCCTCCTTCATGGCCTCTAGCTGGGCCTCTCGGGTCTGCTCCAAAAGCGGAGTCACCATAGTCATCCTCATGCAGATGTCCCTGATCGGCGCTGCCTTGCGTCTAAGCGCATCGGCCACGACATTGTCCTTCCCCGGGTGGTACAGGATCTCACAATCGTAATCCTTCACCACGTCTAACCACCGACGCTGCCTCATGTTCCGATTCGGCTGAACAATGAGGTACCTCAAACTCTTGTGGTCCGTGTAGATGGTACAACGGACCCCATAGAGGTAGTGTCGCCAAATCTTGAGGGCGAAGACAACTGCCCCCAACTCCATGTCATGCGTCGGGTAGTTTGCCTCGTGAGGCTTCAGCTGCCTCGAGGCGTAGGCGATGACATGCCCTCTCTGCATCAAAACTGCGCCCAAACTTGAAATGGACGCATGACAATACACCACGAAATCCTCCATGCCCTCGGGCAAGGCGAGGATCGGCGCCTCGCACAGTCTCTGTCTCAACGTCTCAAACGCTGCATGCTACTCAGGCCCCCAGCAAAAAACAACGGCTTTCTTCGTCAGCCGGGTCAAGGGTACGACTATCTTGGAGAAGTCCTGAATGAATCTCCGATAATAGCCTGCCAGTCCGAGGAAACTCCGAATCTCAGATGGAGACTTCGGAACCTTCTATCTCATCACGACCTCCACTTTGGCCGGGTCGACCAATATCCCGTTCTGTTTGAAAAGGTGCCCAAGAAACTGCACCCCGCTCAACCAGAACTCGCACCTGGAGAACTTGACATACAAGATCTCACTCCTCAGGGTATCTAACACCTCTCGCAAGTGCTCCTCATGCTACTCCTGCGTCTTGGAATAAACCAAGATGTCGTCAATGAAAACTATCACGGACCGATCCAACATCGGCCTGCACACGCGGTTCATGAGATCCATGAACGCGGCAGGAGCGTTGGTGAGCCCGAAGGGCATCACCACGAACTCGTAGTGACCATAGCGAGTCCAGAAAGCTGTCTTCTGTATATCCTTATCCCTGACCCTCATCTGATGGTAGCCTGACCGCAAGTTTATCTTGTAAAACCAAGATGCTCCCTGAAGCTGGTCGAACAAGTCATCTATCCTCGGGAGTGGATAACGGTTCTTCACCATTACTTTGTTCAGCTCCTGGTAATCTATGCACATGCGAGTTACTCGGCCTGATAAATCCCTTGTCTAGCAGCTCCTGCAGCTGCGTAGACAACTCCTGCATCTCGGGAGGAGCCAACTGATACGGTGCCTCGGCCATCGGAGCCGCACCAGGAACTAAGTCGATCCTAAACTCCACCTGCCGCTCCAGAGGTATCCCAGGCAGCTCCTCTGGGAATACATCCGCGTAATCTCACACCACCGGAACGTCGCTCACTATCACCTTACCCGCCTCCCGGGTATCCATAACATAGGCGACATACCCAGTGCAACCCTGCTGTAGGTAGCGCCTCGCCCTCGCTGCTGAAGACAAGGTTGGTCCGTGTTGTGGCCTCTCTCCCTGAATCACCAACTCTCCTCCCCTCGGGGTCCTGACCCGAACCAACTGTTGCGCGCAGTCGATCACTGCCCCATTGGGGCTCAACCAATCCATGCCTATAATCACCTTGTTCCCACGCAACGGAATGGGAACCAAGTCTACCAGGTAGCGCTCCTCGAATAGCCTCATAACACAATCCCTAAAAACCGCTGAGGCTCGTACCGATCGGTCGTCGGCAATCTCAACCTCTAGAGTGCAATCCAACATGCCCGAAGCCTCAGGGAACCTTTTGCTAAGTGCAATAGAAACAAATGATCGAGTGGCACCCGAATCGAACAATAACTGAAGTGGGATACCGTTCACATGGAACGATCCTGTCACCACATCGGGTGCGGCGTGTGCCTCCTCGGTAGTCAACTGGAAGGCCTGGCTCCTTACCACTGGAGCCTCTGTCTTGCCCTGCCGACCATCATTGATTCGCAGGGTCGCTGGGGTTGGTGACTTCACTAGCGCTGCTGCTGTCAACTTAGGGCAATTGGCCTTTATATGGCCTCGCTGGTTGCAGTGGAAACAAAGCAACTCTTATGTCTGGAAGGTGGGCACAGGGGCAGTACAATCCCTGCTAAAGTTCCCCGACTTGCCACACTTATAGCAGCTCAATGATCCAAACCGACAAACCCTCTCATGAGTCTTGCCGCACTTTCCGCAGCGGCCCCGGTCCTACTAGCCCTTCGACCTATAGTCGGATCCCTTGGGCTTCTTCCCCGAAGCCCTAGTAACCTTTCCTTCCTCCTCCTTCCTCTTCCTGAGGTGCTCCAAGTCTATCTCCCTCTCCCTTGCCCTGGCAATCATGGAATCCAGAGTCGGGCATGTTGAGAAGCTGACATGCTCTCGGATGTCTGCCCTTAACATATCATGATAGCGGG